TATTTTAAATCTAGAGTATTTTACATACATACATTACATATTTAATAATATTACTTTCATTAAATAGCTCATTCTCATATTTGTGATTTTTGGCTAAATATTTATAATTTACTATTAATTAATGATTTTTAATAAGCTGTATTTACAAAAAAAACACCCTTAATTAATTTATCTATTTACCTAATTATATTTTTGTTTGAGATAATTTTTAATTGCTTTTTTGTTTATTTTTTTCTTTAAGTTGGAAAAGCGTTCATATCTTCTACATAATTATCTATCTGGTTTATCGCCAGAAAACTTTAAGAAACGACTGATACACATTTTTTGAAAAAATAAAATTTTGCAGCTTTTTAGTAGATCTATAAAATAAAATTTTGCGGATAACCGTTATTATTTATTGATCTTATTTCAGTAAAAAAAGACTTTATATTTATTATAAAATAAATACTGATGATGAAAAGGCTAAAGCATTATCTGACGTTTCACCAATTGATGTGGTTGGCATCCTCAGGGAGTGTAGTGACAGCTAAGTTTCAGCACAACCGCAGCAAAAAAAATTATGCTTTCACTACGTTCCCTAAAAATATCATTGACAGTTTGTGCAACGTCTAATAAATAACTCCAAGGAGGAGAAACTATTTCTGGATCATAGCCATTCAGCCCGTATATTGATCCCTCTTCAGATACTAATGGTGTTAAAAGAATTAATCAGTCATCTTTATTTTAAACGCCCAGTGTTTGCTCATATCTGCTTCTCTTTAATATTTTATGCTATATTACACTTGTTATTTACAACTATACTAAGCACATTTTTTATGCTCCTGTTTTTTTATTTGCTACTTTTCTAATTTCTTTTCATACTTATCTCCACAAATATTTAAAACTTTTAAAATGTGTGTTTGCCCACCAAGTTCGTGTTTACTTGTCAGTGTATTGCAAAGATCATTTTTACAGCACAACTAAAATGTTATAACGTATACAGAGTGTTAAAAACAGTTATATTCGTTTTTAAATTATTTTATAAAATTCTTGGACCTACCTGCGACAATAATCTTTAAAAAACACTCTTTATACGAATGTAGCAGACAAGACATCGCTGTATACCGTGCACAAATTAACCCTTTACTTCTCCATTGTTGGAAATTCTGTAAACTTTTATTTAAAAGCATTTGTTTATTTCATTATTTATAGATATTTATTATTTATTACATACATATAACATTCGTTAACGTGAAAGCATGAATCATGTGAACAGCTAGTATTTTTTTCGATTCGCAGTAGTTCACAGTATTGAACGTCTACTGTAGATGTTTAATTAATTTTATTTGATCATAAATGACTAATTATTATTCCTTATAAGTTACTGTCATCTTTTTTTTTACTATTACCAAGTTGTTTATATGTGTGTATATTGAATTATTTATCGTGCAAAGTAATTTAAAAAAATAAATCAAAAGTAAAGTATGATTAATGTTTAAAATGTGAAATCGTAATGCATTTTGCCGTACTTTCGTCATTTATCAGTTATATTTAGCAAGATAATGCAATTGAATGTATTTTAGGTGTATAAAGAAATCTAATCCATTATAAAATACAAACGAAAGATAATAAGGAGAATTATCTCTAATATCTGTCACTTTATTCGACTTTTCTAAGTAGTAGGTAGACAATCGTACCCGTTTGTATTGTTTTAATAAATAATGGATGCTTGAAGAATAAGTTGAATGAATGTACTTTGTTTAATGCGAATTATTTCCGCCTAGCAACACTCTCTTTTATTTGTTGATTACTACGAATTTATAACAAGTTACCGAGTGATAAAATTTTTACGGAGTGTTAAAAACTATTTCGATTACATTAACAATTTTAACACAATAGAACTATTAACTAATAAAAATAATAATCGATAGTTAAACGACAATTTTTATTATTATTTCTCATTTACATATCTACAGTCGTTTCTTAAATTAAAGTTTTGTTTTAAGTCGCTTTTTTTTAATTGCTCATTCGTAATGTTAAATTATCGCAAGGCAGATGTTAAAGTATCGAAAGAGAATTTATGTTTAAAAATTTTCTATGATTATTGATTAATTTTGGGTATTTTGTTTTAATTAGGTCATATCATACCCGAGTTGGACATTTACGCTATACCAAGCTGCGATGCGGCCCCCGTGAAAGAGATCTACTTCGTTGCCATTATAGACGTCTTGACCCATTACGGGGTAAAGAAGCAGGCCGCGAAAGCCGCCAAAACCGTCAAATACGGATCGAACGTCGACGGAATAAGTACCTGTGATCCTGATCAGTNCTAAAATGTTATAACGTATACAGAGTGTTAAAAACAGTTATATTCGTTTTTAAATTATTTTATAAAATTCTTGGACCTACCTGCGACAATAATCTTTAAAAAACACTCTTTATACGAATGTAGCAGACAAGAAAACCGAAAATATAAATAGATATCACTGTAAATATGTAATTTTCTTTTACTCGATGTTTATGGATTAATCTAATCGACTGTTTAACTGTAATTGTATGTATTTAAATTGATACTTTCAAAAAGCTTCTCATTTTTGGTAGATGCATATAAGGTGTAATATAACATAAAGGTAATTATTATTCTATATGATGTGTTATTTTATTACTTTTTTAAAGTTTGTAATATAAAAATACTACATATTAATTTTATTTCTAGTCTTACAGTGTGTTATTAAGAAGCTGGATTACATACATATGGCTTTAAGCAAGTAGATGTATGGTGTTTGTATCAATAAATCTTTTATCTCCACTTCTGATTTTCGTTAAAAGCCATTACTAGGAAAATATGGCCAATTTGCCCCAGACTGAATCGAGTTTCGTATCTTGTAAGTTACTCTTTTTATAATTAATAATAGTGCCCAACATTAGCAATTAATATACAAAGGCTGTCAAACTAAAAAGGCAAACTTTAAACATTAGAAGGTAATTTTATAAAACAAATAAGTAAATATAATTTTTCCTCATATTTGCCAGGATTATTATAATTTTCTTGTAAATTAATTCCTTTTAGAATGTGATACCCTCATTAACTTATCTTAACATGAAATGATGCAGTAACATTTTATGTATTTATTTCCATTGAAGAAATTGGTTTCAGCTTGAAAATCTTATAGCTCTAAGTATTACACTACAAAAGGCTACTATCTTGTAAATATTTATTTTAAACACATGTAATAACAGTTAACAAATATTATCATATACTTTTACAATATTTTCCATATTTTCTAATTTTTCCAGTAAAATTGAACATTGATCTACTAAAACTTTTCTCTTAATATTTAACGAAACGTATTTTAAATTGGTAACTCTTATCAAAACTCAATTAAAAAGCCGAAGTATTTTTATGCCCCTGTTAATTAATTTATTTAATTCAAAGATATCAAGGGCTTCCAATTAAAAAAAAACTAGGACAGTTAAAAATACATGTATGCATCTGTAGTATTGATAGAACATAGATAAAAAAATACTTTTTTTGTTCAAATAACAGCTTTTCAATTCATTTATGAACTGTAGCAAATAATTTAACGTTTTTCTTTTCTGATTTATACATTTTTCTTCGGTCTTTGGGAAACTAAAAAAAAAAAATAAGAATGTTTCAACTAGTAATTTGTTAAGTTCTTGTAATTTATTTAATTTTGGCCTAGACAGTCACTTTTAAGAACTGTGCACAGCTAGGTTGAACTAATTATTAAATAAATTACATGTTGAAACATTCTTGTCGTGTGTTTTCTTTATTAAATGTTTCATCGAGAATACACCTACGATTTAGGTATTATTAAACAGAACATGTTGAGCGTTCGATATATTTTTAATTCTAGGTAGCTGTAACGCACACTAGTAATAATATCAGTAAATCATAAAGTTATTTGGAAGTGTCCTCTTTAGTAAAATGAATTACTATATGCAGCATAAGTAGGAGTTAGTTTGAAGACTCTATATTTGTACTACTAATACTACTACTACTACTACTACTCTGAACACCACAATTTGAAATTGAACTCACTGTAATATGAAAAAAAAAAAAAAAAAGGAAAGTAGAAGCTTTATCCTGAATAAGTAATGAATGTGTATTTAAAATAATTACATTATGTACATTCACGCTCATAAAATATTTAATTAAGCTACATATTTGATTCCTAATTACAATTAAGTAATAAGCTATAAAACACTATTCACGTCGTGTTGTCTTTTTGCTTAGGTTGATTCTGTTCTAATTCATAATCCAATCGTTCTTTTGCCCTTACAATTTTAGATTGAATATAAAATGAACCTCCATGTTCTTTATCATTTACTTTGAAAAGGTGATCAAACCTCTTTTGGATTTCATCTTTGTTCAGTTGGGATACGTTTAAAATTTGTTTTGCTTCTTCTAAAGAGAGACCTATCTTTACATTTCCGGCACTTTCAGTTTTTGATCTTGCGTTTCCTAACCTTCTTGCTGCTTCTTGAGATGCTGCTATTTCTTCTTTAATAGCCTTTGCAAAAGCTCTACCAACAACTTGNGTCTTATCTATGGTTGTCATATTTCCCTTCTAAACCTTTGTATATCTATTATCTATGTTTCTAACAAATACAAGCGGCCAGTTAATTACATAAAATAAAATAATGAAGAAAATTAGTGATTTCAAGAAAAATATAATATAAATGATAAAATGCTCAACTATTTAATTTTAAGGCTACTTAAGCTTCTAGAAAAGGCAGGTGAGCGGTTAGTAAATACTAGTAAAGATAATTAAATTGAAGGTGTCTGTAAGTAATTATCTTTAATTCAACTAGTACGGTAGTTACTAAGATCAACATTATTTATTAGTAAATATGTTTGATTAGAGAAGGTAATTATTTTGTAAAATTACCATTACCATAAATAACTGTAGCATGTAGTCTTATTTTGTCTGATCAAAAAGTTGAGTGAGAAAAGTCCTAAGAACAACTTACTTAAATTAATACTGTGTGTTCACTTTAAAATTCATCACCCTCCTAATAAGAATAGTAATACTAAATTAATTATATCTAGTTGCGTATTGTTTAATATGACAAACCATTTTACAGAAGGATTACACAAAACTATGGACGCTGTATGCCATGGGGAATTTGTCCTTTTTGCACTCCAGAATATTGTTGTACCTAATGTTAAAGGAAACTTGCCTTTTTTTACTGGAAACAGACAGCTTGGTGTCTGTTGCTAAAGGAAGGATTTATGACGATGAATTGGCAATATCTTGAGTGAGTGACACTTTTCCTTTTATTTTTTACATCCCAACTCAATTGCAATATTAAAAACGTTCCAGGTACATTGTTAAATAAATAAATATTTATCCCGATTATTTCACTTTCAACCGCCAATTTAAAAACGTCGTTTTACCAGGGTGCACTTTCAACGTCGTTTTTAAGTTTAAATAAATTAATTTCTCCCTTATTAAACAAGCTGAAAGTTCCAAAATGAACTAAAGTTGTTCCAAGGCATCAATCGACTGTTTAACTGTAATTGTATGTATTTAAATTGATACTTTCAAAAAGCTTCTCATTTTTGGTAGATGCATATAAGGTGTAATATAACATAAAGGTAATTATTATTCTATATGATGTGTTATTTTATTACTTTTTTAAAGTTTGTAATATAAAAATACTACATATTAATTTTATTTCTAGTCTTACAGTGTGTTATTAAGAAGCTGGATTACATACATATGGCTTTAAGCAAGTAGATGTATGGTGTTTGTATCAATAAATCTTTTATCTCCACTTCTGATTTTCGTTAAAAGCCATTACTAGGAAAATATGGCCAATTTGCCCCAGACTGAATCGAGTTTCGTATCTTGTAAGTTACTCTTTTTATAATTAATAATAGTGCCCAACATTAGCAATTAATATACAAAGGCTGTCAAACTAAAAAGGCAAACTTTAAACATTAGAAGGTAATTTTATAAAACAAATAAGTAAATATAATTTTTCCTCATATTTGCCAGGATTATTATAATTTTCTTGTAAATTAATTCCTTTTAGAATGTGATACCCTCATTAACTTATCTTAACATGAAATGATGCAGTAACATTTTATGTATTTATTTCCATTGAAGAAATTGGTTTCAGCTTGAAAATCTTATAGCTCTAAGTATTACACTACAAAAGGCTACTATCTTGTAAATATTTATTTTAAACACATGTAATAACAGTTAACAAATATTATCATATACTTTTACAATATTTTCCATATTTTCTAATTTTTCCAGTAAAATTGAACATTGATCTATTTCGGAATCAGTTAGTTCTACTAATTTCTGAGGTAAATATTCAATACTTGCACTCCTAATCTTGTAGCCTTTGGTTGCAAGACTTTTCTGAACTTTATCCAAATGATTTGGATCACATAAGAATCTCAAACAGTTGGTTTCCTCTACAATTTCTACATCATCAGCTTCACATTCAAGTGCATCATCTGTAGCATTTTCTAAAATTTCTTCATGAGTACCACCGGATGATGTAATTTCAATATCTATTACACCTTTTTGTATAAATAAATGGCTAAAATTTCCATCTAAAAACTTCCCACTGCAAAAATTGTTAATCAAATTGGATTTATATTTAAATGTTGTTTACGAACTTATTCTTCTTTAAAATAGTCGCCATCTGTATTTTTAATGAAGGAAGACTTGATGTAAATGCTTCACAAAGAATAATACTTTTCCCAGGACCCCTAGAAAGATAATACAAAAAAGGATATGCATGTAAAAGAAAAATCATATATACGTGTTCACTTACTTCACACCTATCAAATATGTTTTACTCTGATCTTTATCTTTTTGAGTACTTTTAATAATGTTCTGAATAGTAGCAACAGGCATATTCACTCGCTTTGCTTGTTCAACTACATGTGCAAGTTTTATATTATTAATTGGATCACTGGAACCACCCTCTTGAAAATTATTGTTTCAATTACTGTCATTAATGAAATTAGCGTAATAAATACCTTGTATAGCAACTTTCATTTGCGTGCCTAATTTTGTAAAGATCCTACTTCGTTCAACATCTTTTTGAGCTTTTATATGTCTAATGTTTGCCCACTTCGAATGCCCCGCAAATCTCTTTATAATTAAAACGTACATTCCTTGCATTTTATTAATTGCATGAAATAAAATAATGAAGGAAATTGTGCTATCAAAAAAAATTCAATAAAAGTATAAATATTGGAGTACTTAATTTTAAGGTTAAGGGTTAAAATTTATATTCTATGGTTTCCAATTTGTTATGTTTGGTTATAGTCATAGATATTAGATATACAAAGGGTAATAATCATTGACCTAGATCATAGATCGCAGCCATAGATCACACTTCTCTTTTATGGTTCATGTCTTATCTATGGTTGTCATATTTCCCTTCTAAACCTTTGTATATCTATTATCTATGTTTCTAACAAATACAAGCGGCCAGTTAATTACATAAAATAAAATAATGAAGAAAATTAGTGATTTCAAGAAAAATATAATATAAATGATAAAATGCTCAACTATTTAATTTTAAGGCTACTTAAGCTTCTAGAAAAGGCAGGTGAGCGGTTAGTAAATACTAGTAAAGATAATTAAATTGAAGGTGTCTGTAAGTAATTATCTTTAATTCAACTAGTACGGTAGTTACTAAGATCAACATTATTTATTAGTAAATATGTTTGATTAGAGAAGGTAATTATTTTGTAAAATTACCATTACCATAAATAACTGTAGCATGTAGTCTTATTTTGTCTGATCAAAAAGTTGAGTGAGAAAAGTCCTAAGAACAACTTACTTAAATTAATACTGTGTGTTCACTTTAAAATTCATCACCCTCCTAATAAGAATAGTAATACTAAATTAATTATATCTAGTTGCGTATTGTTTAATATGACAAACCATTTTACAGAAGGATTACACAAAACTATGGACGCTGTATGCCATGGGGAATTTGTCCTTTTTGCACTCCAGAATATTGTTGTACCTAATGTTAAAGGAAACTTGCCTTTTTTTACTGGAAACAGACAGCTTGGTGTCTGTTGCTAAAGGAAGGATTTATGACGATGAATTGGCAATATCTTGAGTGAGTGACACTTTTCCTTTTATTTTTTACATCCCAACTCAATTGCAATATTAAAAACGTTCCAGGTACATTGTTAAATAAATAAATATTTATCCCGATTATTTCACTTTCAACCGCCAATTTAAAAACGTCGTTTTACCAGGGTGCACTTTCAACGTCGTTTTTAAGTTTAAATAAATTAATTTCTCCCTTATTAAACTAGCTGAAAGTTCCAAAATGGACTAAAGTTGTTCCAAGGCATCAGTGAATAGAACTTAACTGTTAGAAATTACCAGGGTGCACTCTCAACCCCCAATTTAAGAAAGTCGTTTTTAAATTTAAATAAATTAATTTCTCCCTTAGTAAACTAGCGGAAAGTTCCAAAATGAACTAAAGTTGTTCCAAGGTATCAGGGAGTAGAACTTAACTGTTAGAAATTACCAGGGTGCACTCTTAACCCCCAATTTAAGAACGTCGTTTTTAAATTTAAATAAATTAATTTCCCTCCTTATTAAACTAGCTGAAAGTTCCAAAATGAACTAAAGTTGTTCCAAGGCATCAGTGAATAGAACTTAACTTAACTGTTAGAAATTACCAGGGTGCACTGTCAACCCCCAATTTAAGAACGTCGTTTTTAAACTTAAGTAAATTAATTTCTCCCTTATTAAACTAGCTGAAAGTTCCAAAATGGACTAAAGTTGTTCCAAGGCATCAGTGAATAGAACTTAACTGTTAGAAATTATCAGGGTGCACTCTCAACCCCCAATTTAAAAAAGTCGTTTTTAAATTTAAATAAATCAGTTTCTCCCTTATTAACTTATTAAACGAGCTTTGGATGACAGACTAACATTATTTGTCTAAAACATACAATAAATAATGTTTTAAACCCCCTTTTTTAAAAAGGGAGTCATTAATAATTGAATTAAGACAGTTACTGTTGAACTGACAATAAGAATCTTTCGCAGTATTGTGGGCTGCCTATATGGAGTGCGGAAAATCAGTATTTAATAGTGGAATTTTATGTTAAAATTATCTTCCTAAAGGTAGACACGTTACAGTGTGAGTCGAAATTTTGTAAGCAATGAAATATTTGGTTTTTAAATAATTAATCTATTTAAATGTATTTGATACATAAGGAGTCTATGAAAATAATTATGATTTCATATCACTTAACGCTGTTGATGGTAGTTAATGTTTTTTAACTGTGTTTTGGATATTAATTTGTCTCTTCCGGGTATTTTTATGGTGTATACTGTACATTAGGACTTTTTAGAAGGTTGATAATAATTAATCAATAATTTTCTAGTTAAAAATGCGGACAAAAAACTGTTAGCCTTTTTTTAGTAAATTGTGGCGTTCATTTATTATTTTTCAGATAATTTTTCCGTGAATAAGGAAGATGTGAGTAAAAATGTAGTAAAGCAATAATAGTCAAAGAAATGCTTCTTAATCAAAAAGAATTAATGTACCAACCCCTTTTTTTTTATTTGTATTTAGGTAGAATAATATTAAGAACAAAAGAAAGAATTTTTAGTGTTCGGTCCAATATTGAGAAATGTAGTAGAAAAGTAATTCTTAAAATGGGCAAAATAAGAGAGTATTATTAACTTATTCCAACTTTATTCACAAATCATAATGTTCTTACTGAACCGACTTTAATTCCAGTTGGTTTTTTCGATAACCTTAAGAACAACATTAAACAAGTTTGGGCACTTATTTTTGCCTTTTTAAAAAGCATTATTTGTATTTTACTACATTTTCTAAAACCGTAATATTCTCTCCAAGTGATACCTGTTTCTTTCGTGCTTATCTCTTTAATGGCATTTTTGTATAATGACATCATTCGATCTTGCCTCTTTGTCTCGATAAATGGTAAGCTTCTATTCAGTATGTGCAAATATATACATTCCGAATAAATTGAATTCCTGCGTAAAGAATAAATAGTCGAATCGAATTTAAAAACTAATTTACAATTTATGAATTAAATTGTAAATTTTTGTAGAAATACGTAGGTACATATTCTAAAACGTTTTTTTTTTT